AAGAAGAATGCAAGGAATGAGCAAATTAACCCGGACTGGTAACTGGCTGGCATATTTTCTAGGTCAGCTAAAAATGACTCCAAGGAGAGGAGTCCTTCCTGACAGAAATAATTTCTTGTATAACAAAGCTTGCTGTTGAACAAACTTTTCCCTCCATTCAACTTGGAGCTACTTTTTGTGGTGTTCAACCACATTTATTCTCCATGCTTGGGTCCTTTGCCACTTGGGTGACTCGTCCCTTTGGTGTAAACCTCAGGTTCTCAGTATGCCGTTGTGTTTTTGGTGTGGAAGACAAACCTACTACAGGTTTGCTGGGATGAAGTTTTTTTTTGGCTTAGGCCTTCTACCCCACCAACAGTTGTGCTTTAGAATTCTGAGTCTGAGTCACTGAGAGGAACATGTAATTAGCATGATTTAAGGAAGAGCTGTGATCTTTGAAAACTCTGCCCTTGGAGTGTGTATATATGAACATAGAAGAATTGGAAACTGGCCTCTGAGGGAACTTCCAACTCAGTCTAGGATTCTAATAATCTCTGATTATTACAAGCCTTTTCTACCAAGTCTTTATGGATGGTCCTCCTACCTCTGTCTCTTTCCAGCATTGAAGTTTACCAGAAATGAAGACTGCATTGCCCTCCTTACTTCCACCAGTATGGGAATGCAGGCCAGATACAGCTGGCTCCCTTGAGGATACAAAGTGGTGGAAATAAAACTAGACTGTAAGGGGTGATCTTTTACTTCTGTAATGAGGTTGGCAGGTTCCTATCTCTACCTGTTTTGAGTCTTGGAAGGAAATGATAGCCATAGGATTATGGCTTCTATGATTTAGATGCTGAGCCTCTTCATTTTTCTACCCACAATAATTCCATGAACACAGAATGTTCTGTGTAAAGGGTGGACTGAAGACAGAGAATTGGGGAATGTTTTAGGGATCCTCTTCTGGGATAGTTTGAAAATTATTTTTAGCCCTTTAGAAAGCTATTTAAGAAACCATATTCATCTGCTCTGAAGAAGGCAACTGCAGGTCTGGCTTTTATCCAAATGAGAGTCAATCAGAACGATTTAAGTTTAGGAAATCATATACATCAAAATGTTACTGGGAAACAGAGGTTGAACACAAAAGAAATATCCTGGGACCCAGAGTTAGATGGAAGCAGCAGGGTCAATAGCTCTGTTCAACATAAAACACCTCAATACTCCCTCTGTGCTATACACTAGATGCACTCTTCTGACTTTAGCAGTGTTGGGTGGTTGTGGTGTTTCCTTTCCCCCCTTTTTATTCTGTTTCACTAGCAGTTCTTCATTTGATGATCTGATTAAGTCTTGTCATATTCTTTATCTTATTTCCTTTTTATCTTATTTCTTTCTTATTTTATGTCTTCCAATTTTGCTCAAGAAAATTGTGGTCTGGGTGAAATAAAATTTAAAAATGCAAATTTTTAAATAGTTCATAGTAGATACTTAAGTACACAGTGAGCATTTAATACTTGTTAGTTGGATAGTGCCCTGTAGATATGACATTTTTATCATTTATCATCCTCTTGTTCCAAAATTGTTGTTACATAAAGATCAGAAAGGTGGTATAAAAATGCCCAAAGATATAGAGCTGGTGGAAAACCCAGTTGACTCCCATAGTAAGATTTTAGGAAGAGTGCACCTTCTTTCATTGCTTCATAATTGGGTGTTGGCATTCCTGTCTTGGGACTGTACCCCCACTTCAATTAACCCCTTGTCGCAGGTCAGTGAGAAAGGCCCGCTCTTCTTACAATCATGGCAGAAATTGTTTGTTATTCTCCCCTTCACTGCCAGTCCTACCTTATTTTCCTATAATCTCATAATTGCTAAATATTGAGTGTCTATAGAAATCTATGGCTTGAGACAAAGACTTTCTGATATCTAGCTAGGATCCCTAGACAAGGTTTTTGCCCATAAACAATGGCAGGCTCCTTTTTAATTTTAACTTTTGTCTACTGGAAAGAAGGTGGTTTTGTGTAGTAGCATGATCTTAACTCTGAATGTACTTTGTGTGTCCCAGAATGATGTCAGGAGCACTGAACCTTGCCTCAGGAGACCAGGGCTCTCTTCTGCTCATCCCTTTTCTGTCATGATGCTTTGGGAAAGTCCTGGAACTGAGTCTCAGTTTTCCCATCTTCAGAGAGAAGGCATGGAGCTATGAATTCCAAGAGCCCTTCTAGCTGTGACCTTTTAGTTTACAAACCTTAAACTGTTATCCCATCCCTGCTGTTCATGGTTGATTAATGCCTTTACGTGTTTATAAAATATTGTGGTAAGTCTTAAAATTACCTAGGAGTGATATGACAATACTCAGTGTGACTTCTGCAGTACAGGACTATTCTGCTATGGAGGGTTTATTTCTCTAAACTAAAAAGACCATGACCCAGAGGCCCCTTCTGGATGCTATATGTCCTTGGCTAGGTGAATGCTGGTAGCATCGTAACTATAGCTATTGACATCACTTACACAGTTACTGAGGTCATGGAAAGTGACATTCTAAAGACTCTCTAAAGAAGAGAACTGGCAGCCATATTACTTCTCCATATAAGAAAATAGGTTCCAAAGTTTCAGAAAAAGAAGTGATTTAAATTCAAAGTCAGAAAGGGAAATGTGATTTACCCATGATCACATGGAATTTCAAAACCAGGATTGTAACACAGAACTATTATAGATCCTGCTCATTGCACTTTTTAACTTCATTTTACTAGCTCACATGACATATCATGTAAACACAAAGTTACTATTTCATGAAGCATTTCTGGTCATAAAAAAACATCTCTAGTCTCCATAATTCCCGTAGGTCATGTGACAGGAGAGAAGATGATAATAGGCTTTAAATATGCCTCTGGTACTATAAGGCTGGGTATGCCCCATACATTTTGCATTTGGAGAGAATACTTAGTTTTAGGTTTATCTTTTCAACTTTTTCCTCTGGCGCTTAGGAAAGAAGTTTACTTGAACTTCTACATTTAAGAGTACACTACATCTCTGAAAAAGATCACTGCCATGGTCAAATTGATTGGTTATTCAGAAGTAACCAAAGCTCAAACTTCATTTAGTGTTTCCCTAAGGTAAAGGAAAATCATGGGTACTTATTAGAGAAGCTATCTTGGCAGGTTTTCATCCCCTTTGGATAAAAGAAAAATTGCACCCAATACATAAATTGACATATGAAGCAGTAAATAATTCCATTGTGCAAGTTGTTTTAATGGACTCAAGCCAGAAAGTTCCATTAACCAGCATGATTAGAATATTCATGGAGGGCCAGGAGGGGGTGGTGCCTGCCTGTAATCCCAGCAGCTCCAGGGGTGGGAGGTTGGGGGGTAGGCGGGTGGAGGTGGGCTGAGACAGGAGGATCAAGAGTTCAAAGCCAGCCTCCCTCCGCAACGGTGAGGCACAAAGCAACTCAGTGAGACCCTGTCTCTAAATAAAATACAAAATAGGGCTGGGGATGTGGCTCAGTGGTTGAGTGCCCCTGAGTTCAATCTCTGGTACCCAAAAAAGAAAAAAAGAATATTCATGGAGGTCAGTGTTTATTGCCAAGCCAGGAAAAGAAAAGAGTGAAGGAAAGTGCCAGGCTGGGGGAAATGATAAATGCCAGTACAGCCTCTGAGAAGGTGAGGGCTTAGAAAGGGAACTTTAGAGGCATGCACAATACTTTCTGCTTTTTTCCTTTTTCTTATTTTTTTTTTCCTTCTTTGGCAAAACGTTAACTACATAAAACGATACATGTTGGTTTTCAAATTCAATTACCAAAACTGTGAGAACTGGGCAATAGATTGTGCTGGGCTCTTTTCTTTCTTTCCTTTTGTAGGAAGCAGCTCAGGGATCCACCACCTGGGGAGGCTGAGGTGAGAGGCATTTGTGTGAGGTTGTGTTTGTGCGCACCTCTACAGAGATAAACATTCAGAAACTACAAAAGCATTCCCAAAGGAATCCTTCCTTAATACAGGAAGTGACAGCTTTGTGAAGGCATAACAATTAAGCTCCAGGTTTTCATCTAGAAATCCCAAAGGCTTTAATTTCTAGAAGAAACCAGACCTCTGTAATGTTTCATGGGGCTGCTTAGAGTTATAGGCAACTGAGTTGAAGCTGGTTGAATGCAAGGCACCTGAGCTTGGCTTAACCTCCAGGCATTTCTTTGCATTCAGAGATGTTTAAACCCACAACCATTAAATTCTTATGGGCACATTCAAAAGAACAGGCCATAGAAATGACAATTTTGTTAACCAACATGGGCACACTCTTCTGCCATGATTTTACTGTTCCAAAGCTGACTTTCTCTTGGTCTGCACTTGGATTTATCCAATGACCAGAACTAGTCTATGCCAGACAGTGGCTTCTTCCCACATACTATTGACCAGGACTGTGAATTTACTGAGAGGGGCAGGCACGATCTCCCTACAAACATTAACATGTCCTTTGCCACAGTTTCACTGGATGGTATGTGTGCAGAAAATGGAGGGCCAGGAGAAACAGAAGCTGAAACCACTGAATTGAGAAACTGGGCATTTTCAACTGCTCATCCCTTATGTCCTACCAACTGGGAAGTCCCATGTCTTTCCCACTTTTTAATTATGTTTACTGCTTTAAGGAAACCACCATTGTTGTAAAATCACCTTGACTGTTCTTGTCCCCGTCCCATTTACTTGATACCCTTTCTCTCTCTCCTTCTTAATTCTTGCTATCAGAATGTTAGTGTGAGTTTAACACCCATACTTCCAGCTCTGGTCACTGTCATGAGCACCAGACTTCCATTTTCATGTTGAATTCTCAACAACAAACTCACCATGTTTGAAAATAATTTTATTCTTTTCTTCTTACCTTCTAAATTACTTAGAATAATTGAATAGATGGGAGGTAAGCCACTAATCTCAGCAGCAGTAGAAAAGCCAAGTGAAATATTACTTTGCCTTCCCAAACTTGTATTTGGTTGTTTTAATCTGATAGAAATGACTAACCTAATGGAAAACTCTTTCTTTTAGGAGACCTGGAGAGGGTCTTAGGATCTACTGGGGGAGTCCAGAGGAGCAGTCCCTATTGTCCCGCTGGAACCCATGGTCCACTGAAGTTCCTTATGCTACCTTCACTGAACACCCTATGAAATACACCAGTGAGAAGTTCCTCGAAATTTGCAAGGTAGGCAGCAGCTGGGCCATCACTCTTAGGTTAGTTGTGTTGTTGGCAAAGCAATGTGTTTCTATGATATGTACCATTTTTTTATTCTTCACCAGAAGAAAAAAGATAGGATACAAACTTGGGACTATAGAAACAAAACCTTTAATAGATTTATAGAACAGCTGTATATCTATAGCACAGCTATTTTACTTATGTAAACATATTATATTAACATACTTGGTACTTCCCCCTTGCTAATTTCGTTTAGTGTAACATCATTTAAAAATTGCAAAATGATTGCATTTATTGTCAGCAGGAACCATACAGCTTTCTCTATATAACCAAATCTTAATTATTTTATTCTGGGAAGAAGTCTGAACTAATGTAAAGTGTGGTTAGTCAGAGTTGGCTCTCTGGTCATATTTAACTAAATCACTTATCTCTTAGGAGTTTGGTAGCCTCCTCTCCAAAATGCATATGATAAATGCTTCTCTATCACTCAATATCACTGGACCATTGTAAGTTTAGTTGGGGGTAATTTGTGTTATCGATGTTCCATAAAGTATAAAGCAATTATGATTTTTAAAAAATTCATCAGTAGCAGGAACAGTCCCTTATACTTCTCTTATTTTCCTCAGGTATTTTAAGTGCTGGGACACTAAGTAATCAGAAATAACAGATGGAGCTGAAAATTCAGTGAAAAGACCAAACGATTTATTTTCAATAAATCAAACATATATATTCCTATGCTTGTGGGCCTAGAAATTCTTATTTTTTCTGTCCTTTTCACATTTACCTTTATATTCACTTCAGAATATTAAACTTATTTGATATAAATTTAAAAATTGGCAATCTGCATGTAAATTTCTTCTGTGGTTGGATGACATATATTACATTTGTTGCATTATTCAAGCAAGTGTGTATACACACACACACACACACACATAAATAAATAATTTTGTATTAGCGAGTCCCCCATTTTAAAAAGAGTTTGCAGAACAATGTATGTGATTAAAGGCTAGTTAGGGCCTTCATTCCCCCTAATTATGGAGGTACAGTTGGCTTAGATCCATCCTACTCACAGAAAAAGTCAATGGTTCTCTCAAGATTTATGCGGAAGTCCTGAGAGGTTGTGGTATCGTGGTTTACCTCTGGCTCCACAATATCACAGGCACTAAATTATTTCAGTGTATGGATCATGTTGCCACAGTTCATGTGATACGCTTATTTCACAATCCCTCAACCAAAGCATCAACATCAGCTCCTAGCCTGACCCTTTAACTACCAAAGCCAACAAAACAAAATGAAAACCATGAAGAACAACATAGCACATAGAGGTATTTATGTAAGAGTAGATGTGCCGAGAGCATCAGGGACATAGAGTGGGAGTTCATATCCTAACTTCAGATGCAAAATAAAATCTCCCTGTTTTGAAAAGTCATTACTAATAACAATATTCTGATGCCTGTTCCATCAATCTCTCATCTTCTGTTCCTCCCTAAGCTCCTATTCTTTTCTTATTATCATTGTTAACGGTGCAGAGAACTTTATGTTTCTTCCTTCCAAGCAAATTGGGTTCTAAACATTAAATAATGTATATTTGTGGATTCATAGTTGTATGCTTTTATAAGTCAAAATAAATACTAACTGCCTTGATTATTACAAAATCCCCACTTCTGAGGCTATGTCTTCTTTTATTCCTCATACTTGGTGCCTTAGGTAATCATCGCGTCAGTTTCCTTAGCTGGAAGAAGTTAAGGGTAAAAGATTGAAGAATAAGTTCTATACACTGTAGAGACATTTCACTCTCTTATTATAATATCTGATAGTGCTTTGTTTTGTTCTGCTACATATAAATACAATCAAGTATTTTTAAAAAGAAAATGAAAATTAAGATATTGAAAGGAGTATGGACTAATTATTCCCCAAATAGCCATCAATGTAGTTAGTATCCTGGAGCATTGTGTTTTGCCCTAGCCCTCCCACCAGCAAATGCTAAGAGAGAAACAATATTCACATTATCTTATACTGGATGGAAGTAAGGCACGCACATGTGTGTGTGTGTGTGTGTGTATGTGTGTACACACGCACATGTGTGTGCAATTGAAGTTGCACGCACATCCACACATGATGACTAGTTGATTAATTATTGGTTGGTTTTTTGTCAATTAAATTACATTGTGGATCTGTAAAATGTGTGTGTGTGTGTTTTAAGGCTCTATCTTTTAAATTGTTAATCTGAAGTCTTTTTTTTTCCCCCTTCCTGGCATAAATCTGGTACTTCCTTTTGCCAAGCCATTTCTTGTTCAAGGGCCACCCCAAGTCCCAGCTCTCTAGGGAAACAAATGATCTCCATCTGGGATGTGAGAGGATGAGTACTTTGATCCTGTTCTTTGAGTCTTAGTTTCTCTTTTGTTGTTGGTTTTTATGTTGCAGTATTCTTTTTGTTTAGGATATTTTCCAAGGTTGGCTTTGATTAAGACTCAGTTACATTATTGCAAAAGAATAAATAAGAAGAAAGATAATTTGGGGGATCTAGAATCCCTTTTATGTGAATATTTTCACATAAGAACTTAACAGGGTGTTATAAAAACTACTTTTTCTACTTCTTTTTGAAGCAAGTAGGGAAATAAGAGAGGAATATGGAGGAAATGCAGCACTAAATCACATTTCTGCAGAAATTTAATTCAATTTAGCAAACTTCTTGTGGCACAGGGGAGGAAATAATGTGGACTTGAGTAATACACAGTCAAAAATTCAAATTATTTATAATCTAATGAGTAATATTGCTAAAATATATTTAAAATGTTCTAACTTAATGCCAAGAGTCTTTTTTTCTGTAGCACCTGGAATTTCTTTATTCAAAAACATTTTCCAACACCTACAAAGTACAGGCATTATTAATGTTGCTAATGATATGAACATAAATGAGATAAGAGTCTTGCATTTGTGCAAGACACTGTTTAACAGAGGAGGCAGAAAAAACATAATGATTTTAAAATAAATATTAATTGACTAAAACAGAAGTTTGGATCAAGTGAGAAGTGGAGGTACATGAAGGGATATATAATATTCATAAATAAGGAGATACTAACTTTAGATGAAATTTATTTTTATACATTCCTCCATTACAATTATAATGATTTGGATAGCAGATATAAGATTCTAAATCAAGTTGGGGATAGTAGGAGGGACAGAAGATGAGGAAATTTTAAATTATTCAGATAAAATTAATGAAAAGTAACTGACAGGATATAAAAGATGATGGAGAAGAAGTCAATGAAAATATAATTTCTGGCCTGAGTAAATGGTGACTCCATTAATTCAAGTTGGGAAAACAAGAATAAGAGTTGGGTTAGGGGTTTAGTTTTGTTTAGGACATGTTAAGTTTGACACCATAGACTGTGAGCTGAAGTTGATTGTCAGGCAGTTAGAAATTTGTGTCTGAAACTTGAGCTGTTGATATCAGTTTCACAGCATGTAACCTTAGGTGGAAGCTGATTGGTACTGAAGGAAGGTACTGAAGGAATGAGCACTAATGCACAAAAATGCATTCAAGTTCAAATTTCTACTATATCTAAGTCTCTTAACATTGATCTACAACATTGCTATGGAGTTTATATAATACTACATCAAAATACATTATTCTTTTACTCATCTCATTAACTGTTCCATTTCCACATCTGGCTAACATGGTGGTCAAAAGGCCCCTTTCCAGACAGTCTTGCTCATCTCCCCACCTAACCAGCCTTTTCCAATCTGTGCATACATACTTGGTGTTACGCATCTCATATAAAACAATTGTGAAAATGTGAAATACTAGGTTTTTTGGCATGGATTTCACTAGGATAAGACATAAAAATAATCTGATAATGTAACTGTATTTTTGTTCATTATAGTATGAATCCATGTAATTAAATTAGCAAAAATCCCATACATAGGGATTCGGACAATAATCTTCTTTTTAAAAATAAGACACTTAAGGGCTGGGGATATAGCTCAGTGCTAATGCACTTGTCTAACATGTTCGAGGCTCTGGGCTCAATCCCCAGTACCAAGAAACAAACAAACAAACAAATAAATAAAAACTTAATCAAAGAAATTAACTGTCATTGGCTAAGGTCATGCAATGTTAGCTCTATATCCATACCTAAAAACTTTGCTTTTATTCAGGGAAATGGGTATAAACCTGAAGGAATTGTCTCTCTGTGTGTGTGATTCTCTTGGTGTGCATGTGTGTGCAAGGGGATGAGAGACTGGGTGAATATTCATATTTATTAATACAATTATATAATATTGTATATTGCAATCTGGTTCAGTTACTCTCAGTTGATTTATTCACATTGTATTTGCAACTTGTAGTCTTATCTTCACTTTTTTTTTTTTAAATCATTTCTTGGTCAGGTTCCTTTAACTATCACGTTGTTAGGATTGGAGTGTACTTCTGGAAATAAGAATAGGACCCAAAGCTGGTGGATAATAGTGAATGGATCAGGGATGCTTTACAGCAAATCAAAAGTTATCTGCACAATAACCCTTTCCACTCTTTCCCAGCATTTTTATCCCTCTTGTGAAGGAGATCGTGAAAGTAAGCCAATGTTTTAGCAATCAAATTTAGTTCTATATTCATTGATCTCGCATTGTGTACCATCTAATAAGCAATGTGCTAGTACCTGGGATCCTAAGACTGTAAAGTAGATTTTGCCTCCAGACACTTGTGGTATAAAGGGAGGAGGCAAAAAGGTAATTAACAAACTATTATTTAATGTGCTAGGACTGTTAATAGAGGGATTCTTAAGGGGTTATGGGAGCCTAAAAGAGGGAACAGATAAGTCCAATAGTTAACAGGTATGATGACATTTGATGTGAAACTCAAAGTATGAGTGCTTTACGTATCAAAGAAGGTGAGAAAAGACCTTTTAAGTAAAGGAAACGTGAGTAAAAGCTGCAAACAAATTACAAAGCTATATGAAATGTTCTTGGCTAATGACTAATTCAGCTTAACTGGAGTTTGAAGTGCA